GATTTGTCTCCACAGATGCTGCCAGACCTGCTGAGCTTTTCCAGCAACTTCTATTTTTGTCCAGCAACCTTTGCATTGTCTTCCCCAAAGTACTTTGGAGCCAGCAAAGTAACTTTTGGAATGCGGTCACTGTTGTAATGTAGAAAATGCAATAGAGCCAATGTGTACACAGCAAGCTCCTACACAGCGACACAAGCAGCTTTCTTTAGGGCTATCAGTTAATGGGACAAATATGGGTCGAGAGCACTAGGAATAGTCCTCCCAGTTGTCTTAATAAAGAGTGTGTAATGGGGTGTTTAACAACCATCTGGGAGGGTAGACAAAGTAGTCCAACACCTGGGGCAATAGACAGTACCACAGGCAATGCAGCACTGCCTCAGCCTTGCACCTGCAGTGTCAGCCTAGATATGTACTCAAGTCTGTGGAGAGTGCCTCAAGACTGTAGAGGTGTGGAGGCTCCTCGCTGAGCAAGGCCAAAAGCTGCTTCACTAGGAAGTGAAATTCAAACCTTTGTGTATCACTTTAAGATATGATAGAATTAGGCTAGAAAGAGTGGGCACCCTGCTGTACAGGTTGGAGATGCGAGAACAGCCTGTAAATGTATTGACACTGATAAAAACCAGTGAGTATTGAAAAGGTCCCCGGACACCACCTGTATTAAAGAGAAAAGGCTCACACCGACAGAGGGCACTCAAGCAGATCAAAGAAGTGATTCAGCCTTTCTTTTAAAAAACAAAATTCTGATTCAGTGACTACTCCAAGCATATCTAATAAATATCCCATTCTTAGCATGTAATAGTTAGAAATATTTTAAGAATAAAAAATAGAAATCAAGATATACATAAAATGGTCAACACCGCAAGCTCTAACTTAACTTGTATCAAGACTGAACTCAAGGCAAATGAGGACAAGGTAAAGCATCACAATCAGCAAAGCGACAGACTGCAGTTTGATATTAATCAGAGGTCACAGAACCTTCTCTTTCAGCATTGACATCTTGATAAATCTACAAAAGCAGTTTCATCAAGAAATGGAACGTACTTATTTAGCCATGTTGGCTTTTTCAGATTTTGGTCCCTAGCATGAATGAAAACAAAGCCAAAAGAAAATTATTTTTTAAAAAATCAAATCTTTGGATATCATTTCTGTTTTCTTTTTAGAAGCATCTTGAATAGAAACGAGACGGAGATCGATGAACATCATCTTCTGCAGGACGTGTAAAGAAAGCACATTGTGAATGATGCAGTCACTCAAACTGCAAATCGAGTGGAAAGGCATTATTTTAGTGTTGGAGAGTTTGAACCATCTATATACACACACAGCTAACTCATTAACCAGCAGAATCCCCACACTACAAAGTCATTCAAAGCTCCATTCTGCACTGTTTATTCAACATTGTGTTACTCTTTCATACATTAGACTAAAACAGCCTCTCATGCTAATTCTCACCATCACCCCTCTCAGGAACTTCACTCCCACTCCAAAACAAGTTTTCAAACTGTCCTTCAAACCCGCTTCCCAATAAATAGAGAATTTTTATTCGTTATTAAGCAGCTGCTGATAGTTGAGCATCTCCAATCAGGGCCACAACAGGCACGAGGCACAACAAGGACCAGGTTTGGATATCACTCCATACAGCAGGAGCCTGGGACAGGGAGCATTGCTCAGAGCCACAGGGCCTTCCCTGGCAACTACATGGCCATGGGTTAACATAAGACAACTCCAAACCTTGATATTCCATCTCTCCACCTTTAGTCTGCCCTTCTACAATATTCCAAACTGTAAAAGAAAGAAAAAAAATCACAAGTGTCTGTTCTGTAAATGTTGGATGTTCGATCCTTCAGCTGCCAAGTATTGCAGAGCTCAGACACTCTCCTCTCTCTCTCTCTCCGCTGCAGAGGAAGGCCAGTTCAATCTTCACCCTTCCAAACGTTGGATCTCAGGCCGACTCTCCACCTCTCCCCGAGATTCCGATCGGGCGCGCGTGTACTCACTGGCTGGACCCCCAGTTTGGCGCCGAGCACTTAATCTCCAAATCTTGAACGCCAAGTATGTATTAACTGCGTAGACACCCGCGGCCAGGAACCCAAATACCTGGTGAAGATGGGGGGGGAAAAACAGAGGAATGATTAAAGAACCAATCCCTCAAGGCAAAAACGCAGAGTAAGAACATCAAAAGGACTCCCACAACTTCATGATCTCAGTAAATGGTGGAGCAGACTCAAATGGGCTGAATGGGCCTATTTCTGCTCCTTTGGTTATGAGATGTCCTGGAACTTCTTGTAACCGACACAGTACTTCACTTTGATGTGTTGTCACTGTCGCCATGTAGCCGATTTGTGCACAGCAAGCTCCCGCGAGCAGCAATCAAACATTGACCCAGATAACCTGCCTTCCATGATGTTGCCCAAGGGATAAATATGGAGTAGGACACTGCGGAGAACTTTCCTTCAAGATGATGCTCTGGGGTCTTTAACATCTGCCTGAACAGGGAGGCAGGGCCCTGGTCCAGTTCCAACTGAAAGCCGGCATCTCCGGCAAAGTGGCACTCCCTGGGTACTAGCACTAGGACTGTCAGCCCAGGTTTGGTGCTCAGGGCTCCCAGTAGAGAGGGAGTACTTCCTCGGACAACACTGGCTCAAATGTCCTGAAAATTTCTCTCTCTCCAACTCGGAAACAGAACCTAAATCCCTCTCAAAAGAATCTGTTTAATGGCTGTGTAAACATCAATGGAATGTTGGCCTGTATTTCAAATGGAATGGAAGATAAAAATAGGGAGGTTTTGCTAAAACTAGACAAGGCATTAATCAGAAAACAGCTGGAATACTTTTGGGCCCCTAATCTAAGGAAAGATCTTGACATATGGTCATTTGGTAATGTAAAAAGGCTGTACCTATTTGTGCAAATTCCCCTAAACCAGCAACGTGTAATGACCAGGCAATCTGATTGAACTATGTTAGGTGAGAAGTAAATATTGATCAGGGCACAACAAGAATACCTCTGCCTTCTTGTAACTAGTGCACCTGCTTCCTTTACAAACACTTGAAGGGGTAAACAGCCTCGATATAACATCTCAAACAAAGGTGCCCAGTTGTGCCCTCAAGTGGCAGTGCTCATGCCCTGCTTGTGCCGCTTGCGATTCCAGTCGCACAGAGTTCTGCTCTCAGTGACTCCCCAGTACAAACCATTGCCTGGGACACTGCGAAATTGGAGGCAGTCCAGCGATGGTTCACTCGGCTGATATCAGGTATTGAGGGACTGTTTTATAAAGGAGAAGGTGAGCAGGTTGGGCCTGAACTCATGGAGCTTAAAGGAAATGTACAAGATTGACAGGGTAGATGTGGACCAGAGGGCATCATTTCAGAATGAAGGCTTACACAGTTAAGACAGAGATGAGAAGGAATTTCTTCTCAGAGGGGAGTGAATCTGACAGAGAGTGTCGATGCTAAGTCATTCAGTATATTCAAGGCTGAGAGAGATAGATTTTTAATCAGAATGGGAATCGAGGGTTACGGGGAAAAGGCAGAAAAGTGGAGTCAAGGATTATCAAATCAGCCATGATCTTGTTGAATGGCAGAGCAGACTCGATGGTCTGAATGGCCTACTTCTGCTTCTATATACGATGGTTTAGAAAGGCTGGCTACTCGGATGGAAAGTTCTGGACCACGAACAAGACTCCTCAGTCACAAGGAGACTGGAGATTCTGGGATTGCTCTCCTTCAAACTGAGGAAGTTCAAGGGAGGGTTAATCTAGGTGTTCAGAACGACAGTGAGTTTTCACTGTGTGAGTGAGGAGAAACAGTCTCCAGGAGGGTCAGTAGCCACAGATTACCCAGGGGAGGCAATGGCCTAGTGGTATTATCGCTGGGCTGTTAATCCAGAGACCCAGCTAACGTTCTGGGGATCCGGGTTCAAATCCCACCACAGCGGATGGTGGAATTTGAATTCAATAAATATCTAGAATTAAGAATCTAACAATGACTGTAAATCCATTAAATAAAAACCAAAAGAACTGCGGATGCTGTAAATCAGGAACAAAACCAAGGTTGCTGGAAAAGCTCAGCAGGTCTGGCAGCATCTGTGGAAGGTGAAAAACAGAGTCAACGTTTCGGGTCCGGTGACCCTTTCTCGGAAATTTTTTATACTTTATTCATTCACTGGATGAGGGCATCGCTGGCTAGGCAGCATTTATTGCCCATCCCTAATTGCCCACATTGCTGTGGGTCTGGAGTCACTTATAGGCCAGACCAGACACCCTCATCCCCTGAATGAATAAAGGAAAAAAACTAGAGGGACACTGATGTAAAATGACTGGAAGCAGGAAGACAAGGAGAAATGCTTTGCTTCAGTCAGTAGTCTGCTGGAAGCAGATTCAATTGGAACTGTAGTGATTGTAATTCCCTAATTGGACCAGATTAACAGCCCCAGTCAGGGAGCCCAGGCTGACAGATATAAACAGGAGTGTCAGAGGTTCTGTTCACTTTGAGGGAGTTGGATCAGTGACAAGGACTCTCTGCGTGAAAGCGAAAGCTGACTTAGTGACAGAATTCTGGCTTCTGTGGAATTATTTCGGGAACTTACAAAAAGGGGTTAAATAGTCAAGAAGAGAAAAAAACTTTCCAGAACTGCGGAGGTGTGTGTATGTGGGGAAGGGGGGGGAGGGCGAGGTGGGCAGGAGAGTGGACAGCTTTTTCAAACAATCACATAAACAACCTAACAGCATCTTTCAGAACTGATCTCTGAGTCAGCCAATCGTTCACTCTGTTTATTGCCACCTTCTGAGGTAATTAGCTCTGTCACATGGTATGGGTGGTGGGGGTGTGAAGAGAGGTGATTACAGTCTGACACCTCAAATCAAGGTGCTATCCTTTCCACAAGAGCTTAGATAGGCCGGGGTGGGGAGGGAGGGTGCTGCTGCTTGGTCCCTGGCATCAATACAGGCTGGAGTTTACCCCAGGGTAACTTACCACAGCAGCAATCTCCCCTCCTTTCTTCTGATTCATAGCTGCTAGCACGATGGAGGCGATGAAGAACAGCATAGCACTGACCACAGTGTTGATCAAATCCTGAGAAACAAACAGAGAAAACTTGGACAAAAACAGAGAGCAAGTTCACGAAACAGAAACTTGCATTCTATAGCACCTCAAATCATAGTAAAACACCCCAACTGTGTCACAACTGTCTACAAACCATGCAGCTCTGAAAGACTTTGCGCCTGTTGTCCATTCAGGGATCTGTGGGTTCTCCTGGGTATTGGGTATCTGTACCAGTCTGCACCACTGCACGCTGCCCTCGATGATGCTCTGGGGTGTACAGACTGTCACACACCTCTTCATGGAATGTGCCTTTGCAAAGGAAGTCGGGAGGGAGATGCAGTGGGTTTTGTCGAGTTGCTCTGTGACACCGGACTCCGTGTTCTACGGTCTGTTCCCCAGGACACACACCGAGACAAACATCGACTGCACCTGGAGGACCATCAACTCAGTGAAAGACACTCTTTGCTCTGCCTGAAACCTGTTGATCTTCCAGAGCAAGGAGTTGACCCTGACTGAGTGTTGCAGACTGGCACATTCCAAGGTGCAGGACTATGTGCTGAGAGACACACTAAAGCCTGGGGCAGCTGCTGCCAAAGTGCCATGGGGAAAGACCACAGTCTGAGGTCTTCCTGCTGAAGGGAAATTGGGGTCTATTCAGTTACCGGACCCTCCCAGTGTCTCAAATATATGTAAATATTAGCATTGTAGGTGTAAGAGAGGTCTGTGGTTCTTTAGATAGAGTTAAAGTCCAACGTTTTGGTTGTTTACTTGATATGCAACCGTACAGAGCCGAACTGCATTTGTGACTATGAAATATATAGAGATTATTTATGAATAAAGTATACTTTTGAAATTAAAATTTTAAAGGCTGCTCTCTAGGATTGGATTGCTCCTTCGGAGAATCAGTCACATGTTTGGCCGTACCCTTGAGTAATTCCTCTCACCTTCAGGAAATCCAAGAGAACAGGGTAACACAAGCACCAACAATATCACAGAATTGTTACAGTGTAGAAAGATGCCACTCAGCCCATCGTGCTTGCACCAGCCCCTTATCACCTAGCACCAACTTCCTGCCTTTTCCCCAAAACTCTTACATATTGGATGATTATTTGGATAAAATATAATTCCCACTAGAATGCCTCAATGGAACCTGTCTCCAGGTGGTGCATTCCAGACCCTAACTACTGGCCGTGTGAAAAACTATTTTCTTACATCACCCTCAATTCTTTTGCATGTCATTTTAAATCTACGCCCTCTTGATCCTTCTCCACGTGGGAACAACTTTCCCAATCTACTCTGTCCAGCCCAATCATAGTTTTGAAAACCTCTATCAAATCTCTTCTCCAAGGAGAACAATCCCAATTTCTTCAATCTATCCTCATTGCTGAACTTTCTTATTCCTGGAACCATTCTTGTAAGTCACGTCTGCATTCTCTCTCAAAGCTCTCCCAACTTTCCTACGATATGGCACATACAACTGTACATGGTATTCCAGCTGAGATCTAACAAGGGGTTTGCACACTGATGGAGCTCAGAAGATCAGGTATGGGCAAGAGGCCAGAAATAGAACAGGACTGAGATTTCAGAGGGTTGTGGCGCTGGAGCTGAGACAGGGAAGAGGCAAGGTGATGGAGGAATCTAAAAACAGGGTGAAGAGGTCTAAAGCTGTGGTACTGAGGGGCTGGGAGCCAATGTAGTTCAGTGAGGATAATGGTGGGTAGGTGAACAAACAGGACTTGGTATGAGACAGGATACAGGTAGCAGAATTGTGACAGAGTTCAAATTCATGAAGACCTACCCCTCCAACACTCTGATTCTACTTCTGAAAGCTATAACCCCAGGCAGCATGAACCCAGACTCAGTGGGTAGCACTCTCTCCTCTGGGTTAGAAGGCCCACTGCAGGGATCCAAGCACAAAGCCTAGATTGAATGTAGGAGTATTGCACTATCAAAGGCACACTGCCAGGGTCACCAGGTGAAACATAAAAAAGGTCTTCAATAAATTCAAGATGGCTCAATGAAATCCAATTAAATAATTTCAATGTGTGGCCCTTGTTGTAATGTAGGGAAATGCAGCAACTGATTTGTGCACGGCAAGCTCCCATGGACAGTCATGAGATTGTAACAGATAACCCGAGAGAACAGATTTCACACCAAACAGCACAGGAAGGGAGATGATTATCTGAATAGGGGAAAGGGGGAGGAGCAACAAGACCTGGATGTCCTTGTACACCAATTGCTGAAGGGAAGCATGCAAGTCATACAGTCACAGAGTCATACAGCACGGAAACAGACCCTTCGGTCCAACCAGTCCATGCCGACAATGTTTCCAAACTAAACTAGTCCCACCACCTGCCTACACTTGGCCAATATCCCTCCAAACCTTTCCTATTCATGTACTTATCTAAATGTCTTTTAAATGTTGTAATTGTACCCACATCCACTACTTCCTCTGGCAGTTCATTCCACACACAAACCACTCTCTGTGTAAAATAATTCACCCTCATGTCTTTTTTAACTCTTTCTCCTCTCACTTTAAAAACACGCCCTCTAGTTCTGAACTCCTCTAACCCCATGGGAAAGAGCCTTTGCACTTCACCTTATCTATGCCTTTCATGATTTTATAAACCTCTATGGAGGTCACCCCTCAACCTCCCACACTCCATTGGAAAAAATGTCCCAGCTTATCCAGCCTGCTTTCACAACCCAAATCCTCCATTCCTAGCAACATCCTGGTAAGCATTTTCTGATCCCTCTCCAGTTTAACAGAATCCTTCCTATAACAGGGCAACCAGAACTGGACACAGTACTCCAGAAGAGGCCTCACCGACATCCTGTAGAATCTCAACAATGACGTACAGCAGGTAGTGAAGAAGTCAAGTACTAGCTTGGACTTCATAGCAAGAGGATTAGAGTACAGGAGCAGGGGTGTCTTACCAGTATTATACAGCACACTGGTGAGACCACACCCAGAACTGTGTGTACTGTTCTGACCTCCTTCTCGGAGGGAGGATGTTCTGGCTGTGGAAGGAGTGCAACAATGGTTTGCCAGACTGATTCCTCGGGATGGCAGGACAGATGTATACCAAGACAGACTGGATCAGTCATGAGTATATTCATTGGCGATCAGAGGAACAAGGCTCGAGGGTGGTGGGGATGGTGGATAATGGGGACCTCATGATTGGGGGAGATCAGAACCAAGGTCACAGCCTAAGGATACAAGGTAGACCACTTCAGACTGAGGTGAGAAATGTCTTCACCCAGAGAGTGGGGAGCTTGTGGAATTCTCTGCCACAGAAAGCAATTGAGCTCAAAACATTGAATGTTTTCAAGAAGGAGTCACATATAGTTCTTGGGAGAAAGCGGGAACAGGGGACTGAGTTGGATGATCAGCTGTGATCATATTGAATAGCAGAGCGGGTTTGAAGGGCTGAATGGGAAATCAGCCTCCAAAAACACTAGGACTCCTGTCTTTCCACAAGAAGTACCTGGGAGTCAGGCGAAAGAGGAATCAGACTTTCCAGTTCAATATTCTGCAATGCCAGGTCTCCAAAATGACTGAATGCTACAAAAGGGAGACTCTGGGGGGGGGCGGGGTTTTGGATATTAGAAAGGCTGTACTCAAAAGGGGCTGAACGGTCTCAATAATCAGATGCTGATGCTGTAAAACGTGTTCCAGGAAATGTAAAGGCAGACGTGGAAATCCTGGAGGCACACGGACAGCAGATGCACAGAGTTCAAAGTGCGCAGCAAAATACATCTGGAATGTGCTTCAACGTAAAAACACAACCACATTTTGATGAAACCTTCCAAGTGGAATTGCTGACATTTTTGTGGTTTATTTTAAAAGGGACCCACAGGAACATGTCCTTAAACTTAGTCCAGCAGCAAATATGCTTGAGAATCTGCTCTCACCTCAGCTCAAAGAACATCAGAAATCAGGGTAGGCCACACAGTGGGGCTAAACACTTCCAAATCAGGATGGTGAGAGGCTTGGAGGGGGTGGTGTTCCCATGTATCTGCGGCCCTTGTCCTTCTGGATGGAAGTGGTCATGGGTTTGGAAGGTGCTGTCTGAGGATTTTTGATGTATTTCTGCAGTCCATCTTGTAGATAGTACACACTGCTGCTCCTGAGCGTCAGTGGTGGAGGGAGTGGATGTTTGTGGATGTGGTGCCAATCAAGCAGCTGCTTTGTCCTGGATGGTTTCAAGCTTCTTGAGTGTTGTTGGAGCTGCGCCCATCCAGGCAAGTGGGGAGCATTCCATCACACTCCTGACTTGTGCCTTGTAGATGGTGGGCAGGCTTTGGGGAGTCAGGGGATATGTTACTTGCCGTAGTATTCCCAGCATCTGGCCTGCTCTAGTAGCCACTGTGTTAATGTGGCGAGTCCATTTGAGTTTCTAGTCAATGGTAACCCCCCAGGATGTTGATAGTGGGGGATTCAGTGACAGTAACACTATTGAATGTAAAGGGGCGGTGGTTAGGTTGTTTCTTATTGGAGATATTCATGGCCTGGCATTTGTGTGGCGCAAATGTTACTTGCCACTTGTCAGTCCAAGCCTGGAAATTGTCCAGATCTTATTGCATTTGAACATAAACTGCTTCAGTATCTGAGGGGTCACAAATGGTGCTGAACGTTGTGCAATCATTGGCGAACATCCCCACTTCTGACCTTATGATGGAGGGAAGGTCATTGATGAAGCAGCTGAAGATGGTTGGGCCTAGGACACTACCCTGAGGAACTCCTGCAGAGATGTCCTGGAGCTGAGATGACTGACCTCCAACAACCACAACCATCTTCCTATGTGTCAGGTATGACTCTAACCACCGGAGATTTTCCCCTCTAATACCCATTGATTCCAGTTTTGCTAGGGCTCCTTGATGCCACATTTGGTCGAATGCAGCCTTGATATCAAGGGCTGTCACTCTCACCTCACCTCTGGAATTCAGCTCTTTTGTCCAGGTCAGGAGCTGAGTGGTGGAACCTACACTGTGCATCAGTGAGCAGGGAGCGTGAATACTTAAAATCC